ATTTTTCAACAAGTATATACAATATTTTTTTGTTTTGAATATGAAATATAACAGTATATGTATACATATATAACTTTACAACAACTTTACATTATGTTGCACTGAGTTGTAAAAGAAAGTGTGTACTTGAAATTTGGAAAAAAAATGCACTGACTACGCACATAAGACGGTTTTCTTTTTTAATTGACTTCGATGATTATCGTTTTAATTTTATTTACGTGTTTATGTATTAGATGTTTAAACTAAAATTTATCATATTCTTGACGCAAATACAATCATAACAAAAGTTTACCATTATCTTTGAAATGTATTCACGATTAAAAAACACCTTTTGTATCAGTTATATAGAACAACAACAACAATAAATGAGCCGCGCCATCACAAAACCAACATAATGGGTTTGCGACCAGCATGGATCCAGATCAGCCTGCGCATCCGCGCAGTCTGATCAGGATCCATGCTGTTCGCTATCAGTTTCTCTACTTGTTATAGGGTTTGTAAGCGAACAGCATAGATCCTGATCAGACTGCGCGGATGCGCAGGCTTGTCTTGATCCATGCTGGTCGCTAACCCATTATGTTGGTTTTGTCGGGACGTGGCTCAAATATGTTTACAGCAGTAAAAGAACAATTTTACTTACTGCATCTTCATCTGACTTTAGAAGTGTTAAGAAACACCAATAGCTTTGGAATGAAAAGTATCAAAAGCATATATGAAAAACAAATGGTTAATTGAAACCGGTATGTGTCAGATTTGATAAAAAATGAATGAGGGTGGGTTCACAAAACAGAAAATGTTTGTCATCTATCAATAATTTAATTATGAACATGTGTTTGCAATAAATAAGTGAGGTTTACCATCCAGATATGAAAAAGAAAGTTTTAAAACTATCATATTTTCACTCATTTAACACCAAAATGTATGTATAAAATTTCAAATATATCTTTATTCAAGAATATTTAAACAAAATTGAAAAAAAACAACAACAAAAAACAAACAAACATCATAATCCGACCAGACAAATGGAATAAAAAAAAGAATGAAAAAAAAAAAATTTTGAACCCCAGTAGAGCTTGGACCCACACCCCATACAGACTGTGTGTCCTTACTGAAATCAGAAAGGAGGTTCTGCATTAGGCATCTAATACCTTAATAGCGGAAGGATGTAAAGTTAACGCCTTATTGTCTAGTCATTTGACATCCGTTTAGGTTTACGTCGTCTACCGATCAATCGGTCTGACGTAACGTTTAATGGAGTCGGCTGGAAAAGTGGTCCATGCAAATATTGAAGCATCAAAAGGGAGAGTAGTAGAGTCTTACGTTGGGTTAGATAGAGGAAAGGGAAATCCCAACCCGAGGGTGATCGGTTCCATCGGGTACGAGCCTTGGCGAGAAAGTTTCTTCTACTTATTCGGTTATTTTAGCCAAATATTCAATTAGAATGCATTAAAAAGATATTTATAATCAAGAAGCATCGTTATCATTACAGAAAACATGAATGTTGTCATAATATCCGATTTTACGAAGAATTTTTCGATATTTTAAAGTCTGCTATTATTAGTAACATATCGATAAGGGGAATGTCGGACATAGGTAGAGTAGGACTCATTGAAGTGTGAAAGTAAATATCGATTTATTTCGATTCTCTGGACAATTTAATAGATAAGCTCACATATTTAATACATTTGGGCCTTTTGTCAAAATAGGAGTAAATATTGCGCATGTGTGAAGAAGTGCTGCACGTGGTGTGTGAGATAAGACCATGTGTGATAAGATTTTCCAACACCGCTTTCTTTGGAATCATTTACGGAATTTTCTATCCGGTTAGTGACAAACTATTTTCAAGATTCGCAAATTTGCAAGTTTGATTTTTCCGCTATTTGCTTTTACTAATGATGAAATTTCAATCAGATATAGCCCATCGTGTCGTCAATACATATTGCCATTTTTTATACCAAATATGTCAATATTTTGCTGAAATAAGTATATGAAACTGCTCTATTAAAATGACCAGTAGAAATATCATAAAGAAGTTATAATCATGTATAATGGGAAAATAAACCACAAGCTCTGTCTTCCTTTGGAATAATTACCTTTTGTTTACAAAGTATGATGAAAATAAAAGCAAAACAAAAATCTGAATATTGTATATGGCATTGATAGAATTACGGATTAAAGTCTGAATTTTCTGTAAAGTTAAGTCGAAAAAAATGAACCTTTCGTTTTCTTTGCTCTAAAGATCAGGCAAATAAACAGACTGTCCTTTTTATTGTACTTTTGTACCTTAACGTAGAGGGTGTGTAAAAAATCATTGTAAACATCTGATAAAGGACACAACTAAACCTAAATGTATCAGTTGAAAACTTTGTTCCAGACCACTTAGTTATCAAAGTGTATAATGGAGTCTATTTCCATTAATCGCAAGACAGATAAAAGTTAAATCATATAGGCTTCCGGGAAAGGTACCGTTTGGCTACCGGAAGTAGAAGCTTACCTCACTCGTGTTCGTGTTTTATAGGCATTACCATTCTGTACACCTCTCTGTATTAATGGGATGGTAAGTGGCATTTGTAAAATAAGTGCATAAATAAAGTATTTGAAAAAACTGATAATAGTTATTTTAACACTCTACACATATGTGTCAATCGTCTTTTTATTGAAGATTTAAAGACTATTCCGGTTTAAAATGAAGAATGTCATATACTTTATGCCTTAAATATAATTTTAAAACATTAAAATAATAATCAGCCTTATAAGATCCTGTCCACATCAATGTTTAATTAATGTAAGTTCGAAGGAAAACTGCACGGATATAAAGAAGAGATGGTTTATAAAATTACACATTGTGTTCTTTACAAAGAGATAGTTTTTTACTCTGGATTATGCATCTGCTTACCAAAATGAAAAAAAACCCACCCTGTATGATATGAATTTATGATATTTCTTACTTTACACCTATAATCCTTGTTTAATTTGACTGTTATAAAACTTGGTTATACCAAAATGTTACTTCTAAGTAATATTATTTAATAACTTTCGGGTTTGGTACTATCATCACGGACCTGCAAGCCGGTGTCCGTGTAGTGTGACTGAATGATTCATTATGTAGATAACATTATGACGTGATATTTCACTTACCCAGAACTAAAAGGGACCCTCGGAATACCGTTCCGCGGCTCTACCTACTGAGCTATCCGGCCGTACATTTCTCCCCTAATTAGTGAACAGTTTTGAACCGTGATATACTCCCCTGCTATATTGAAATTCGTCCTCGAACTTCAAAGAGTTACAGAGCAATGTAAATCAAACTCTGAACTATATCACTCACGGTCCCCCGTTGGGCGCCAAATGTCACAGGGTGAGAAAAATGTGCAGCCTGACCGGGACTCTAACCCGGGACCCTCGGAATACCGTTCCGCGGCTCTACCGACTGACACATTTTCTCCCCTAATTAGTGAACAGTTCTGAACCGTGACAGATCTATGTTGTTTTTGTAGTTTTTTTTCGTCTGAATGGGCATTATTTTGACCTCGCAATCTCAGAATAAGAACTTAAAACTGTTTTTGTGCTTGGTGCTCGGGAAAATTATAGGTACAACAAGTGACTAAGAATGGGAAAACCGTGCAATCTCTTCCATCAATAAAGGTCATTCTTAATCTTTTCATTCATCTTTACTCGTGATGTAAATAATACCATAACCATAGCAGATTCTACGCTCCCTTTGCAGCTTAGTTAATACATTCCCGGTACTTCGTACAGAAAAAAAATATTAATTGGAAGACTTTATTATTTTGCATTTCAGAATGAGGCTCTTGACTTATCTTTGCCAAAGACGAAATCAGCAGACGAAAAGCCGTCGTTGGAGCTGTCTACCGGACCATCGCTGTCAGATGATGTTCAGACTGCAGATACGTTGCCAGCGTTATCATCAGCCCATGAGTTAGCAGAACGAGAGCGTCGCGGACGTAAACTGGTCGAAAACGATGCTGAAAGTTATTTTATGAAGGTATAGTAATTTGTTTTCAAAGCGGAAAAGAATAATTAGGATCAGGGAGAAGGGTTTGACGAATTGATCTTTGTTCATATTTAATATATCAGTATTTATTAGAAAAAAGGACAATAAATGAATTAATTATTTTCTTAATTGTGATACATTGATACTTTTATCATAACAGAGCGAATCCTTTCTTTACTTGTAAGTGATCCCGGTTTAAATTACAACCTTGTACAGCTTTGCTCATATGTAATACAAAATTGTAGTACAAAATTAAAATAATGAAAAGGCAAAAATGCTAAAGTATTATTAAAGCTAATAACTTAAGTTTATCGTTGTACATTTTTTAATGTGTTAGTTAGAAATGTAGACTAGTTTTTTGTGTCTCTACTGATATCAATGTTGTTCACACTAACCCAAGTGAATACCATCGTTGTATTTCCGGTTAATGGTGAGTACGAATCAACCTGGGACGTAATGGATTAAATAGCGAGGCACCATACAGTGCATGAATATTTGTTTTCATTTCCTGATTCAAAAAGTGAGTGTTTAGAAAACAGAAAGCTAGTATTCTATAGACATTTTAAATGTAATAGTAATTTTGAAAAATATCTGGACTGTATAAATATGTTGAAATTTAAGAGTAGTCCTGCTTCTTTTAGGTCCTCTTGTCATCAATTGATGATAGAGAAAGGACATATTGCCTAGGAAAAATCCGTTTTTGTATACACTGTCGATATGAAATTGAATATAAATATCATTTTCTGTTAAAATGTCCTTTATATGAAAATTTACGTCAACAATTTATACCAAATACCTAATGGGAACATCCAAATAATCATAAGTTTAACTTATGACTGTCATGCAAAAGTGTAAAGACAATACGAAACTTATCAAAGCTTTTTATATTATGCCAATGAATTTATATCTTAAATGTCTTTATGTAAGTTGCTAAATTTTATTACGCAATTACATGTTTTGTGAAAAATGGCTAAAATGCTGCTATGACAACATGTTATTGTACTTCATATAACTCTATGTAAACATATATATTATGTGATGTAATATTATCCTAACAAGCTGCCATGACAATATGCTATTCTGTTTATATATATTTTATATATTCATGTGTATGGGCCGGTGGCCTGAATGCAAATTTGAAATAAACTCATAAAGTGTTATATTTCTTGCTCGTTCGGACCGTTATTTTGTATCTGAATTAAGAATACCAAATTTTTTACTTATTTCTTGTTTGGGGCAATTACAATCTAGAATCCATATGTTGTATTTCCTTGGCAAAAATGTTATTTCTCGCTTTTATTATGTTGGTATCTATTAAAACTAGCAATATACATGTATTTCAAATGAAACAAATAAGCTACTTTGGTGTTGAAATATTTTTAAATGTGCTGAGTATATACTTATTATTAACATTCTACATGATGAAACAATATGTGACATTATATTAAATAAACACCATTCGTCTGAACATGTTTATATATATATACATTGTATATAAAAAACCAACAACAAGGTCTCCGCATACGTATGTGTACAGTGTAACAAACTTAATATTTGACAATTCTGGCGTTCCATACTAAAAGCCATAACTAAACATTGTTGTTAATAAGGAGGGAATCATATAAATAAAGCATTTGACAGGAAGAAGGGGATTAGAAATCATCATCAGACTACTCGTGTTACTGTGTAATACATTGTACCAACTATCACGTCACTACAGATGTCTTACCTTGTTCATTGTGAACACATCGGCTGGAATCAGCTTTAGTAAAAGACACGTTGTGATAAGGATCATCATCACATAACAATTTATAACTGATTTAACATTTGTTAGGATACATGCTACACAATAATAATTCTAAATCTATACCAAACTTCCGTTCCCCTTCGTGTCCGGAACAGCTGCCGTGACCTGAAATCATCGCCGTTGTAAATTCGGCCAACAATACCGTACGGATCCGAACGGAACAGAACGGACAAAAATAGAGGCGTCGCACAGAGCATCACTTATTGTTTCATAAATTCATTGCCTGATTTTGAATTAATTAATTATTAATTCTAATTACATGTTTTGAGGATGTGTTATTTTAGTGGATGTAATGATCTTTATTGAATGACTTTCCAATTTCTGCTGTTAAGGAAGTAGGACAGTGCATCAAATTGTTCTGATTTCATCTTTGTTTTGGATACATACGGAAGCCGTATTTGAAATTGGTATATGTGTAAAATAACTTGATTATTTAACAAAACACGTCAAAAGAGCATTGTTTTATGATAAAGCGCAATCTTTAATTTTCACTAACGTGATGTGAAAATATGTATCTATGTATATACATGTACTTGTGATAGAATGTTTACGTATCGTGCTACAGATTCGATGGTTCTCATTTAAGTAACAATTCGTCATTAAATCAATGCTTTTGCACCTAATGGGCTTTTACTTGTTCTTTTGTAAAATGTTATATAATGATAGCCCGGCAGTCTTATGTTTAATTCTTTTTAATTCTTAGTTTTAAATGTACGGAGTGTATAATTTATTTATACAGTGATGTGGACTGTTTATTATACTTTGTGCATTATTTGTTTCGTATTGTAGACAAGTTTTTTGTGGCACGTGCAGTCTGTTTAACATTATATAACTATGCTCGTGATCATAAATGTAAGACCATTTAAGCAATATTTATTCTGTCCTAATATTACACTCAAACATGAATTAAGGTTGATCATGTCATGTGATCTCGTAAAAATATTAGTTGATACAGATCGATTACAATCTGGTACAAAAACGTCTGTCTTTCTTTGTACTTTTTCAAGTTTTTTTTGTTTTGTTTTCAAGTAATATGCATCCTTTAAAAAGATATGCATGTGTTGCGTCATAATTATACGCACCGAAAAATGAAATATATATACACTGTATTTATTACACAGAAGTATTATCAAGTATTTGGTATGGAAGTCAAAATACTTAATGTTTACATTTTGCTATTTTTATGACATTTTTTTCACTTTGGTGCTTTTTTGTTCTGGTAACAACCATTTAAAATGCTCTAAAACCATTATATAAACGTTAAAAAATAAATATTTGCCTTTTTTATACAAACAAAAATAATCAGTATCTGAGGCATAATGTGCCTTTTAGTGTTTTACGCCTAGGTCGTTTCTGGTTTTATTGGTTGTTAAAAATGTATATACATTATTGTTATATGTGATGGAAGCGACTGACCATTAATACTTAGTACAACTTTTATATTTGGGCGCGATTCAAGAAAATGACAAACACAAAGTTGACTATGTTATCCAAATTTATCAGTAAGCACTAAACCAAAAGCTAACTTATATGACTGGCATAAATAATTACATAAAAGCATGAAAGATGAACTAAAAAGGGCAGAAAAATTAATATAAAAAATCAAGGTATCAAATGGTTCTTATGATTTATTTTCACGAGCTTTTTGCATATAGTGTTTTATATCGAATGAACAGGCCAGAATAAACTTGTTCCACGAAACATTAAAAAATGTACATGAAATTATAAACTTTCCTCATTACTTGATGAAAAAAATGTGCGAAAGTAAATAAAAACTTTAAAGATATCTAGCAAAAATAAAAATCTCAACGATGTAAACTGAAATATTCCAATTTTGGCGTTTTATAGTTTGTTTTAGCATAGTTGTTATTCTTTTATGTTTTACTGAAACAGATTCATCGACATATTTTTTATAGGATCGTAAATAAGCTATTTATAGATCTGAAAAGGGGACATGCCTTTCAATTTGACAAGTTTTTATTTTTTGAAATCGAATTTTAAAAGATATTTTTTTCAATACTAATAGTGAGACTTAATACAATTGTTTGCAATTACATATCTTAACCCTTAGCCTATTGTAGTGTAAGTATTTATTGACGTATTCACATTTGTACATAGTTATAAATACAAAACATGTAATGCATAAATCATAAGTCACGGTACGATCATATTGAAAACAAACATTTTTAAACAAAAGTATATATGGAGAATGTTCTAAAGTCCATATTTAAACAATACAAAGTTGGTATTGGTCTAATTAATACGTTGCAAAAATGACTGTCATATATTAAATATGTAGTGAATCAACGATTCAAAATACATGATAAATACCATACTGCCGCTATTAAGGAGCAAAATTATCATGCACATAGTTTTTTTAAATGGTAATATTAATAAGGTCATATCGACGCTAAGTAGCAAAGATGATGTATTTAGCAAGTCCAATGTTTTGAATTCAAAAGCTACAAAAATTTAAACATACTCGGCCTTCTGAAAAAATATGGCTTAATGAACTCCCTACGTAATGCATTATAACAATTGCAAATGATAATAACACGAAATTCTTCCTCAATTTCTTGAAGATTACATAATTCGCATTTTCTTTCTGAACGAGGATGTCTGTTAGGACAGGTATAGAGCCATACCAGCTTGGTCTTCTGTTAACTGTAGGAAGCTTAATTTTTCTATTCTGATATTAAAATCATTTACACTTTGAATAGGGCTTGTTGCTGGTCTAATCCAGGACAAAATGTTAAGGGTTAAACACTGTAATAATTGTATTGGTCCCTTTTTTATTTCCATTTGTTGTATGCTAGTGCAATAGTTTCTTTTTTTTTTTGAAAAAAAGTAATACATACCATTTATAGATATATACACACGGTTTTATAAATGTTTCCATTTTTATTATAGACAAAAAACTAATAATATTGTGTACAGAAATGCAAAATAATCTAGGTATTCCCCTTTTACCATCAAAGACTATTGCATACAATATGGATATCATAAATTGTGTTCAGAACAAGTTAAATTTTGGTGAATTTTCAAGACCAAAAGTAAATGCTTTGAAACAATATATATATGTATATATATTTAAAGTTTTACTTTGCATAAGAATCATTTTACTTTGCTGTTTCTTTGTTTTTTTTATGTATTCGTCGCATGCACGACCTGTCCAGTAACATTTTATTGTTTATGACAAACGTTTTGCATTTTTATGAGTTACTATCTGGTAGCTACAATATGGAGACCAGGTAATTGCCAAGCTTTATTGGAGGGCCTAGTTGAGCAAAGCAAAACTCATAATAATGTGCAAACTTGTGAAACATATTACACATTTACATTTGTCTTCCCTGTTATAATTGTTTCTAACAGAACAAAGATTTTGAGCCCCCTTCGAAGAAGTACAAACTATCGCTGACCACGCATAAGGGCGATAGTCCTCCAACTGCATTCGTTTCGAGGAACGCCGATGCGGGCGATGCTTGTCTCAGTAATGACATAGACTTGTCGCCTCCGACCCCGTTCCTTGTTGCTCACCCCCAAGACGCCGGCGAAATAAAGCGAACATGCAATGGTGTATCGGTCAGTCTGCATGACGATAAGCTGTGGAGAGCTTTTGCCAACTTTGGAACAGAAATGATTATCAATCGTTCCGGAAGGTAGAGTTTTACATTTTCATAATTCTTCCAAATGTTTTTAGATAATATGCTTGTAGATTGTTAAAAAATCATATTACATAATCACACATTGCCTTGGTCATTATCACGTATCGTTGTTTTGCGTAATAGTCAGAGTAAACAGTGTGTCTTTTGTCAATAAATTCCTAATTCTTCTTGTTATTACCCGTCAAGCAGAATAAAAATATTTCCATTAAGTCTATCTTTTAATTGTTATTTGCTTTGGTTGACTTTGTGGGCGTATGAACTCTTGGTTTCTCACTATAACTATTCAAATAGAGGGAAAAAAACAGAATCTGTTAAGAACGCCCAAAACGGAAAACTGAAAATATTGCAGACCATGTTTGAATGAGCCTGTTCATTGACGTTGATTGGATTTTTCATTATATCCATTTTTGTACTCTGCTGTTTGCTTTGTTTTTGTTTTCAAAAATATGATTGTAAATGCGTAAGATTAAATTCTATACTTATATATGTTTTTGCAAGGTGTGTCTTAGTGTTTAAACCCGGTTAATTTGCTGTAACTGGTTGTTTCCTATATTGTTTTTCACTATGTTCGCGTTTTCAAATTAACAAAAAAAAATCTTCTAATTCTCCTGCCAAGTCTTCGTACAAAAGTGAAAATAATTTATTACTATTGGACGTATAGTGATAATTGCTGAAACATGGGTTGAATTGAAATGAAGAAATAGAAGAAATATTCACAAAATAAATAATCTTTTCACATACGAACTTATAATTATATTCACCTCTAACTATTACCCACACAATTGATCAGGTGATTATACACACTGTAAGTAATAGAAAGAGCACCGAAACACGAGGTTCTCTGATTTGTACGAGGGGGCGTAGCCCCCGAGTATTAATCAGATTGCCGAGTGTTTTGGTGTTCTTTCTCTTTTGTATCATAGTCAAACATAAAAGCGCGTTCCCTGTTGTCACAATATGAAACCCCGGCAAAAATGAACCAATGAACATACAACTGAATATGACATTTCTGTCGCTTTCCCTTTTTCTGCCGTCAAAATATGTAAACCCCAGCAAAAATAAGCCAATCAATGGGCATGCTCTGGAGTGCGGGTAACTAATACCCGCACTCCAGTTAACGCACTGTACATGTATATGTATACGATTTAACCCTGACAAATTTTCAACAGAAAGGTCACCAAACTATGATACAAGTAATAGAAAGAACACCGAAACACGAGGCTATCTGATTTGTACGAGGGGGCGTAGCCCCCGAGTATAAATTAGGTTGCTGAGTGTTTCGGTGTTCTTTCTCTTTTGTATCATAGTCAAATATTACAGCACGTTCCCTGTTGTCATAATATGAAACCCCAGAAAAAATTAACCAATGAACGAGCATTTGAATATGATATTTCTGCCCCTTTCCCTTTTTCTGCCGTCATAATATGTAAACCCCAGCAAAAATGAACCAATCAACGGGCATTATCTGGAGTGCGGGTAACTGATACCTGCACTCCAGTTACCGCACTGTGCTTGTTTATGTATACGATTTAACTCTGACACTTTTGCAACAGAAAGGTCCCCAAACTATGATACAATAACATGTTTAATAACACATGATATTATGTCAGACTGCGAAAAAAGAAAAACTGCAAACCCCCATTAACATCAATACGAAAAGAATGAATGGTCACGGAATATCGATTGTTCCAGGAAGCCACCCGCCGCATGATTTTACTTTTTTAAGTATTTGTTCTTGGAAAATTGTTTAAAATTACAAAAATGAATAATTGACATCAATAGTGCTTAAACATGTAGTAAAGTGTAATCAACGGACTGAAAACTCATTTTTCTGAAATTTACCAAACATTTTAAATAGAATGATAATTCTCCAAATAAAAGTACAAAAAGTCATTCGTTAGCTTTTAAGAAAAGTTTAAACATTTAATAAATAGAACACTGAAATACCGGTACCTTCTAAGCAAATTTATGATTTTGAGTTTATTTAAACTCGTGTCAGAAATATGCTCGTTCACTTTGTAAAGAAATACTCTCAAAGCACAAGGCGTTCTTTTCCACGCAAAAGATTAATGCTAAATGATTTTGTTATAGGCCAAATTTTATTATTATCAAAATAAATATGATTATATTGAGATTGGGCTAAAGTATCACAGAAATACGAATTTTTAATTCATTCTGAGTTAATTTCTTAAATATCTTTTGCATATCTATCTGTTTTAAGTGTTACAGTTGAACTATGCAAGAAATTCAAATTTTATGTTTTTAGGCTTTTTGATCTTAGAAAAAGTTCCTTTAAGCAATTAATAGTTTAATGATTAACACATTTTTCTTAAGATGAACGTTCCTATACTGAATGTAAATGAATCTTGTTCCAATTATATCAATGTAATCTTGTTTCATCAGGCGGATGTTTCCACATATCGTTCTATCTACGGAAGGCCTACATCCACAAATGATGTATTCGGTCACACTTGAAATAGTTCCCGCGGATCAGCACCGGTATAAGTTCATCAATAATCAGTGGTTACCTATAGGAATGGCGGATCCGGGTGCAGGAGTGCAGCCAGTAACTCATCCAGATTCACCGAACGTTGGTTCATTCTGGATACGGAACAGAGCCTCGTTTTCCAAAGTTCGTCTCACAAACAACAAAGAGTCAAGTGTTAAAGAGTGTTCTGATAGCAATGTAAGTATACAATTAGTTGATGTCAATACTTCATTTATCTTTAGATTTGTTTGTTGAAATCGAGTTCATTACGGAATGTGATTATTTGAAAACGTTAATAATGTTAAACTGTTTTGGTGTATGCCCCCTGTAGTGAGTGGTACAGTTGAATTATTATGTTAGGGAAACTGTTTTGTTATGGTTATGTTCTAATTATTTTTTAATATACTTTTCGATTAGATGAATAAAGAAATGTTCTTTATCCAACGAATCTGGATCGGGATAGAACTGAGATATATGAATCTGCATGCTAGTTAACTATGCTTGCTACTTTGGGCAAGAAAATTTAAACACATTGTTTAGTACTGGTTCCAGGAACGGATTCGAAAGTCTGTCTATAAGCTTATAACTTCCTACACAATCGAACAATATATGGTGCATAAACCGACAAATAAAATGTAATCATTTTTTAAGATGAAGAAATCATCTCAGAAGCATGTCATAATCAGCTTTGAAAACTTACTAGTAGTTGAAAATTCATTGCCGAACTTTGTTCTTTATCCAGATTCTTCTACTGTCCATGCACAAGTACAAGGTAGTTATCAAAATCAGAGAAGAAAGCTCCCCTGCAAGAACAGAACTAACGTTTGATTTTGATGAGTCGGCGTTCATTGCAGTCACTGCATACCAGAACAGCAAAATCACACAGCTCAAAATACAAAACAATCCATTTGCCAAAGCTTTCAGAGACTGCCACAATCCCTCGTAAGTGACTTTTTTTTATCTTCATTCAATTACAAGGAAAGTGATTATTATTTATATTGTTCCATATATTTGTAATATGTTATTCGAGACTTTGTAAATGTGTCACATCCAATCCCAGGGTGCATACAGTCTTTCACTGTTATAGCTTCACGGCGCATTACCGTTCATAATAGAGTAATGAATCGATATAATTATTTACCAAGTTGTAAATGTGAAAATTCTTTTTTACCCCAGAATTGGAACATTTGCGATGCACGATGATATGGAATTATTTATGATACCAGTACTTTGTTACAGATGTGTCATACTGTTTAAGATTTTTACTATAAAATCTAAGAGTTGTGTTCCTTCTAGCGTCCTTTCACGAATGTTAATATAGCATTTTCATTCCAAAATGTATGTGAGTAAACTATGGTAATACTCGAAGAAATGTTAAAAATGTACCAGTAACTAGTGAGTCGAGAAAGTTGTTAATACTTTACCTGCTGAATCACTCAAACGAATTCGACCAGCTTTCTTTTTTGTACAGTCTATTATCATGTTTGGAGATTTGGGGTTAGTTTACCATCTGTATAGAACCTGATCAGACTGAACGGATTCGTTCCAGAGGGCAAGAATTAAACTCACCATATGACGTTATCATATTTCTATAACAAAAAAGTGATTTCACAAGTACGACAATATGTTTGTACATGCATGCACATGTTTACTTGTAAAGGAGAAGTTTTATTATAAAAGTTGAAATGATAAGCAGTCATACTAATATTTCAGGTTTACCCCAAAGACCGCCGTATCTCCTAGACGACGAGAAGCAAAAGCAAAAAGTAAGATAATATATTTTTTTTTTCTCTTCAGTTCACCGGAAATTTAAATTTTCACTAAAATTCTATATTCACGTAACTTCAATGCGTGTATAGATAGACCTTACATAAATATATCGGTCACTTTAATTCTTAGTGGCCCTCAATGATGTGTACATTTTCTTAAATATTCACTAAATTTACATATTGAGCCATCGAATACAAACTGAACTGACATTTTATCGTCTATCGCAATTTCTATCAAATCACATGGTTGATACACATAAAGTACTTAGGCAGTTGAACATAATTATTAAAAGTATCACATCAAGAGAAGTGTTGGTAAAACATAAAATAAAAACACTAATTAAACTTTAATATTAAAAATGTACCACATTATCTCACTTTGATAAATCAAAATTCAAAAATATATATATCACATGACTATTAATTAAATACTGACAAAATAACTAAATTGTATATGGTATGAAAACTAATTCTGTCTAAGTAAAACTACCTCTGTATGGATTGTCAAATATTTTTTTCAGTAAGAATTAAAAGTTAAACTCGTCAAAAATAGATACCGAGAATACAAAAATGGAATATTGAATATATCCTTTTATATACATATTATCATTATTTTACAGATGGTTATATGAACGAGTCGACTGTACCGATTATACCTGTCTCTATCAAGGATTGCCCATCTTATATGCATTACCAATCAATGCCATTCCGTCAAGACGGATTAAGTATTGCAGCCCTCGACCACTTGTACAGGAAAAATATTGAGATGAATTCAACAAATCCGTCACATTGTAAGAATTTTAGAATGCGTTACGCCATAATAGAATATAATTTTTAACTTGTATTTTTATCATTTTATCTCATGTTTTGGGGTTTTTTTTCAGATTCATTTCATCTGTAGTTTTGTTATTATACTACCAACCGAAAGGAGTATATGAGAACCTTGAAATTAATTTATAGAATCAGTGGTCTATTTAGATATCGAAGATGTTATTCAAAACGTTTATTTCTGCTTCGTAATGACGTTAAATTAACGTCATTGTATACGTGGAAACAGAAGAATCATATTCTCTAAACGGAGAATTAAAAAATTATCATTAGATGATAATAATAAATTATTTAAAATCTTTTTTTTCCAGACTTTCCCTGGACCGCTGTTGGCCAACATTGGCCCTTCCAATTCTGGGGAAGAAATCCGGGATTGCTCGATACTCTCTATTCCAAAATGAATTCATCGAAAACAAACAACATGGCCTGTCTTCAACTTCCGGTTAACGAAAATAGGAGGATCCGATCGTTTTCTGTAAACTCACAGACAAGCTCAAGCTCGCCAGAGAGTTGCCAGGATAATGAGGATTCAGGAGACGACAGGAAAGTATAGGTGGTAATTGTTGAAATATTACAATTGTTATCACACTGTGAAGTACTGAAAACTATCATATCATCATCATTATCATCATCATCATTTTCATCATCATCATTATCATATTGCATATTGTGGTTATATGCCTTTTTTGTCCAAGTGCTGTGAAATAATAGTTTATTCTGTAGTCAGGCGGTATGATTGGGATATAAGAATGAATGAATATGGACGATCGTGTTTATTGATCTTCAGAATATGACAAGAAAAGGTAGACTATGACAAAATTTATTAGAATATCGCTAGAAATGGTACCTTTGTACAGCATTTGTAAGCCTTTGACACCGAATAGAATGAGAATTCAATATTTTATATATTTAGACGGTGTATGCCTTATATCTAAGTAAATTATTTATTTTGTTCTTTGTATCAATTTTTTTATTTTAAGTTAGCGAGTTTATGAATCATAACAGAAATTTGACGCGGTGAAATCACTTCTTCGTACATGTACCATGTAAAAAACAAGATAACAATTTTAAGACGAATGGTGACTGTTGTATAATATACATGTAACACGGGAGTAGGTGGAAATAAACTGCATTTGTCGAGTTAACACATACCTCTTGCATTTGTTTGTAATCAAAATTTCGAATTCCTAGTGACTTAACATTTTGCATCCAAGTACGAAAACCACATGGGAAACTCTGGTTTGGACCAATGATAAGTGTAATTAAGGGTACTTGAAATTATTTCCTGAGACTATAAATTGTTTCATTTTGTATTGATTTAGGCGCCAATGCTTCAAATTCTTATATCAACAAGGCCAGCATTAGTTAGTCTTTGAAAGAATTAACTCGAATTTATCTTAAACTTTTAGTAAGATAGGACGGTATATATTTTCATGGAATACATAAACTCACTGTTTATTTCTACCGACTCCCGTATTACAAGTTATGTAAATAGAACATAACTGTCGTCGTCGTTTCAAATTCCAAATATCAATTTAACTGGCAGCCATGCATTAATGTCTTTCGAAAACTTAATTCAATATTCCTTACTTGTTAGCTAGCTATACTTGAGTAACAAGTACTACAAGAACAAAACCTCCAAAACGTTTAGTTTCGATTACATATAAAACCTGCACATTTACAACACGGATTACACTGTCAAAGAAATATCAAACAATTTTTATAATTTTAAAACACAATGTCTGTATTATTGATAAATCTATCCGGAGCGATGACCCATTTATTATGACCAATAAAGCATCGGCAGGGCGTGAAGCAGCAAAATAAATCTTTGTCAATCAAAAACTTTTTAGATGTATGTTAGATGTAAAACAGGACGAAGTTTATCTAATATATTTAGGCTATTGATTGTGTGGTGCGTATCGTTTTATTTTCATTTTGTTGAAAATGTTTGTTAAAATGTTTTGTATAAACATTGAATTGTGTTCTTTTAAGATATACAAAAACAATTAAGAATAATTGATATACATCTTCATTTAATATTATTTGAAATGTTAATCATTTGCACTCAGGTTTGATTATTGTTTGTTCGAATCACCAGTGAAAAGAAGCGGAGTAAAGGGAACGTTATACAGAAAAAATAGTTATCCTTCGTTATTTGTCTGAAATGTTGAATCAAACTTGGTAAAATATCAGGATGGATAGCTTTTATAAATTTCTGCAATTATCAAGGACATGCCTCATAGTAACAAATTAAAGAGTTATTTTATTCACGCTAAAATACGAGGATTGTCATTAAATATGAGGAGATATTCGGATACTTACATTTATATCAGCTATTTTGTCAGAATACATGTATGTCCCACGAACAAAAGAAGCCTATACAATTCATACCCATCATTCATATACTATGCTTCTAGTTTAGACTTTTTTATCTCTATTTTTACTTTTGTTTCCGTTAATGATATGGCAAAGGACATGTCTACATTTATCATTATCATTATTTTTTATTCAACATATCATTTTATGTCATTACATATATATATTATTTTCACAACATAACTTATTGTTTGGAGTGCTATGTTATACCAGCTGCATTGAAGCATGTAAAAGTATAACTTGAATTTGTGTGTTTTTATTATTCAGCATGACTATATAATTTATTCATTATGTTTGTGATTCTAAATGATATGTAAATAACCGTTTTGCCATTACATTTACAATGTCATGCAAAAGAAATAAGTGGAAATGCTTCATATTATTTTATACATATTTGTAATTTAAAACAGATGCGCTGTGAATTGTACTAAAATCTTGTTAATTCATAATTTTTTTAAGAATACAACACTTTTTTCATTTGTTTGCACTTATCAAACGTAAAGGAACGCTTAAAGAAGAAAGTAAGTCAAAAATGTACTATGAATGTAGAAGTGAGATCCGTGCATGCTCCAAACTTGCCGAAGTTATAAGGACGCAAGGAAACAATTTTCTAAACAAAATATTTGGTACTCGAAGATGGTCTACTTTAAAAAAGGGGAAAAAGAAAAATTTACGAAAGCAAATATCCTAAAGAAATTTATCAAAATATTTATGTTTTTTTTATATAAAAAAGAGAGATTTGCTATAAAATATATACATTTCAAAACATTGAGAATATGTTTCCCTCTAATTGAAATTTTTAGTATTTTTAAACAGGTACAGATGTTATCTTTCTTTGAAAATGATATAAAAGAGCAAAATGAGCCGCGTCACGACAAAAATCAACATAGTTGGTTTGCGACCAGCATGGATCCAGACCAGCCTGCGCATCCGCGCAGTCTGATCAGGATCCATGCTGTTCGCTTACCACCTCTATTAGAAGTGGAGAAACTGACAGCGAACAGCATGGATCCTGATCAGACTGCGCGGATGCGCAGGCTGGTCTGGATCCATGCTGGTCGCAAACGCACAAAGTTGGTTTAGTCGTGACGCGGCTCAAATCTCACTATCAGTAGTTGATGATGCAAAAATAATGGTGACTCTTTATCTTTTTAATAAATTGTTTTGATAATAACTCTCTATTATCGTGCAAATTGCTAGAAATGCAAAGTTCAGGAAAATAATCTGCGCTGGGTAAAATTTTCCTTCTTTGCCTTTGTAAGAAATACTAAAACTTCCAATTAGACGCAAATTAAATGGTTCATTTATTATATATTGTGTATCATTTTTCTTAATTTTTTTTGAACATTGTGCACTTTATACTTTTAAAACACGTTTATCCGTTTTCATTCGCAAGTATATGTACATTGGCTGTATGTATTTTATTATTATTTTGCTAAATCAAGGTTATTTTATTTTATGTTAGGTTGAAAAACTGACAAAAATCTTAGCTAAATGGGGAAGTCCTGAATAGCAAGTTTGGACATTTGTCCAATGATCTTGATAAAAGTTTATTATCCAGGTTTTTCCGAAGGAAAAAGCTGGTTATAAGATTTAGGTATGTCGGAGGGCAGGCGTAACTAATTTCTTCTGTGCGCAACTCATACATTTTGCATGTGATTTTGTCCAAACTGTCACAGAAGCTGTGTCATTAGTGCCCCGGCGAATATTTTTGGAGTATCTTGATTAAGTAATATTTAATCTTATCATAGACCTTTGTATTTTTTTCTTGTATGGCATAAAAAGTGAACAATTTTTTCAATTTCGCAACTCCTATTTTTTTCGCAACTCTTACATTTTTCAAGGGATTTTGACTAAACTGTTACAAAAGCTTTGTCACCAAGTGCCCTTGCCATTTTTTGATTATATTTGACCTAACTATAGTCCTTTGTTTTTCCCCATATATGATTTGTATAGTGTAATATGCTTTAAATTACAACAACAACATTTATCAAAATTTTATACAGTTATTGAACAGAAACCATCTAGTTTGATGCACGCCTACCAGATCATCTGCCTGTTTTTGTGTTCGTAGCGTCAAGGTCAAGGTCACTCAAAACTCTTTTTACTATAATTCTGTTTACTTGTCAATAACTAGAGTTGTAAATGAGACCTTTCAATCAAACTTTTTTTTTTTGAGGCCCCAACTGGGTAACCCCGTTTATTTACCCCGTAATAGGTATGAGAGGGTCGGGGTCATCCCTCTGATACCTTACATGATATCTACATAATATTTAAATCATCATCTATAATAATATTTTTTATATAATTACAATATACATTATATTCAAACATTCAATCAATTTTCATATAATATGTATAACAATTATGTATGATAATGTATTATGCAACAGCTTCAAACAAACAAAGAATATTGGTTTGGGGTAAATTAATTTAGTGTAGCCCATTAGTTTATTAAAGTTCTTACAATTTGCCATCCTTCATTTACATGTTTGGTCAAATTTGTATTTTTGTAAATATTCCACGCCAATTTAAGACTATTTCTAAAACCAGGTATTGTAGGTAACATGATTTTTCTCTTTGACAAATAAATATATCTTTTCAATTCTAAAAACAAAATATCATATTTAAAATCATTAACTTCAGAACCTAAAATAAATGATTTACAATTAAAATTATCATCAAAATTATCTATCTTGTCTTTCAGATATTGAAATAACGATTGAATTTTTGGACATTCCCAAAATAAATGCAACAGAGTTTCCTCTTGGCAATTGCAAAAAGTACACATTTTACTATTAACAATTTTCATTTTGAATAAAAGTGAGTTTGTTGCTAAAGTTCTATGAATTATTCTTGTCTGAAACCACTGAATATAGGAATCTTTGGTACATTTAAATACATAACTATATATTAAATTCCAATTTATATCAAAATTTGTAAAAAATGAGTTCCATTTTTCTTGACATGTTGGTACATCTTGATTTCTAACTAGAATTTCATAAACATATTTCTTTTTGATATTTTGTGTAATTAAAATAGGTTTAATATAACAACTCATAATAGGGTATTGAACATTAATAAAATCTTTACAAATAGAAATGTTAAGCTTTTGTGCATATTATAATATTGCTTTTTTCAAACTATGATATTGTAAAAAAATTACTTGTTTTTGTGTCACCTGCTCTAAGTAAGTTAAATCTACAAAATCGCCTTAGGGATTAATAATATCTTTAACAAATCTGATTCCTTTTTCATAAAAAATTTTAATATAAAAGTATCTATTTCCTGCTAACAAGTTATGATTGTAAAACAATGGCATTTGTAACACTTGTTCTAAACTGTCTATACAAAGTTTATCTGTAAAAATCATATAAGCTTTTAAAACATCTATCCAAAAAGCATTTTTAATTTTATCAATTGTCAATTTACAAAAAAAATTACCTGTGCTAAACACTTTATCAATATTGAATAAAGCCATCACTAGCTTATAACATTTACTGTTACTATTACTAACATATCTTTTAAACCATTTTATCTTTACAGAATGTATATAACTATCAATATCAATCATATTTAGACCACCTTCCTGATATGTTTTAATAACTACTGATTGCTTTATCTTTGCTTTACCTTCCCATATAAATTTATAAAATAAGTCATTAAGTGTTTTCAAAAATGCTGAATTAGGTGTTGGTAAACTTGTAAAGCAATGAGTGAATAAAGGATGGAGTAATGACTTAACAACAGTAATTTTTCCTATAGGTGTTAACATTCTTTTTTTCCAGTATCCTATACTATTTTTAACTTTCTGAAGTTTTTCATTAAAATTTAACTATCATTTTTTTCTAAATCAACATCAAATATCAAACCTAACAATTTAAACTGTGTATCACCCCATGTCAGTTTCCATTTTGTCTTAATAGATCTTGTACTGTATTTAAGAGAGCCTATCCAAATAACTTTAGTTTTATCAAAATTTACTTTCAATCCTGAAATTTCTGAAAACGTATTTAATAACTTTAAAACAGTATTAAGGGAATTTTCTGATCCATCTAGCAAAAGTGAAGTATCATCAGCAAATTGTGTAATTTTATATTCCTCCCCATCTATATTTATACCTTTCAATCAAACTTAAAGTATAGCAAGCTTTTGGTCAGTGTCACAGTTACTAAATATAGATTCCGGTCTATATCTGGAGTTAGTTGTTTGTAGTAATGTGCATCTAATTAGATAATATTAGCATTTCAGATCTGCAAAACTATGAAAGAAACAAATTAATGTTCATCTATTGATTACTAGTATACATGTATATGTAAAAAATCAAAAGGCCATAATTATTCCAACAAAAAACATTTTAATTGAACAATGTTCACAATAGCCCCATGGCACTTAATGACAAAGCTTCTGTAAAACATTAAGTTGAAATCCTAGTTTTGTCGCATTGCGATGTTTCTTGCTTATCATAAATGTTCATGTAAGTAAAATTGTACACTTCTAAGTGATTCGTTTAAAACTTTGAGTAGATTTAACATTTTTCATTAAAGAAACATGAAGTAAAAAAACATAATGACTCTCTTTTAAAGATAAAATTTCTGATGTTTTCATTAAATAATGTTTTCTTCAATATTCTTTTAGTATAAAAAGTAAATCAATTTCTTTATTTTCTTGTTACTTCATTATTATTCAGTAATTTAAAAACATACCAATGTTAAGTAGAAGTATATATTGTTATTAACAACTAAGATTAGAGTTAAAATGTAATTTTGTGATCACACTTTGAATTTTGTGTTCTGGAGGATGGTTTTTTCATGAAAGATAGAGAAGGGGAGGGTACACTTTTGCTCACCAAAACGTTATTTAGTTTGTTACGCGGTCTTTTTGACTGTGCTATAGAAGCAGAAGCCATATTTTTTTCATGTATAGTACAATAAGCCATTGATAAAGCTATAATAACCTATCTATTCGTATGTAATGAAATATTTGGTATATAAACATATAAATGAATATTGGCATCGTTCAACAATAGATATGTCCATATAATTAACAATGTTGACGATATTCAGCGAAATGTGTTCTCATAAAATACTTAGATACGTAACAGTGAACGAGTATATGTGTTTACTTTTATATATATTTTGTGGATATATGACATTGTGGATAATTACATTTCGTTTTAGAAAAAAAAAACTACACAATTTACATCATAATCATCTATATATATAACTGTTGTTATGCCAATTTGTGCTAGTTTTAAATTTGCGTCATGTTGAAAATAAATTGGTGATTTTAATTAGCAGCTTTGTTGTCTTTCTTTAAACGTCCAAATCAATCTGTCAGTGACAAAAACCAAAGGAGATAAAAACAACACAAATAAGTATATACATCATATCTCATATAAT